CTAGCCTTGACAGCCATCCATTGTAAAGAACTCCACAAATTTGTTAACCTCAGAAAGAATTCTTCTCTCTCTCTCTATTAAAGCAGCCCAGAATACTATATGCTTTATTTACTGCTCTATCTGACGTGTCCACCTTCTATAATGTGTTCATATACACCAAAGTCCCTCTGCTTCTGCATCCCCTTTAGGATTATACTCCTCAGCCATTTTATATTGTCTTTTGGTGTTCTTATCTCACTTCTCTGCACTGAAACTCATCTTCTACCTTTCCATCCAGTCAACCAATTCGGCTATGTCATTTTGGAATTCTACACTACCTTCCCCAATTTTACAAAACTTCCAAGTTTCATGCATACTTTGAAATTATCTCCTGCACACCAAAGATCAAATCATTTTTATACAGGAAAAGTGACATCTCAATACTGACTCCTGGGAAACTCCACTACAAACTTTCCTCACCCTGGAAAACATTCGCTGATGACTACTTTCTTGCTCCTCTGATACTGCCTGGCCTGCTGTGTTCCCCCAGCTCCACACTGTTGTCTCTGACTCCAGCATGTGCAGATCTTGCTATCTTCCACTGATGACTACTGCTTTGTATCACTCAGAAAATTTTGTAATCATACTACAATTTACCGTTCTATTCCATGAGATACAAGAAACCTTTCCCACAAGGGCATTTTATTGCACTATATCAAACACCTTCTGAAAGTCCATATCCACCACAACAGCATTACCCTCATGGAGTCTGTCACCTCTTCAAAAAAACTCCAGCAAGTTAATTAAACATGACTTCTCCTTTAGAAATCCATGCTGACTCTGCCCAATCAACCCACCTTTTTCCTTTTGGCTACTAATTCTCTTCCAAATAATTGTCTCAAAGTTTCCCTACGCTGAAGTTAAACAGACTGGTCTGTAATTACTGCACTTATTCTTACAAACTTTCTTGATCAAGGATGTAACATTTTTCAGTCTTCTGGTATCTCTCCCAATTTTAGGGAAGACTGAAAGATTATAGCCAGTGCCTCTGCAATTTCCACTCAAAATCCTTGGATGCACCTCATCTGATCCCAGTGCCTTGTCAACTTTAGGTGTCAACTACCTATCCAACACTGACTTAAACCTTAAAATTTCTAAAGATACATACCATACTCATAATACTAACTTTATTTCTCTCCTCAAACGTTGCCAGACGAGAGTTTTTCTAGCATTGTACCTGTTTCAGATTTCCAGCATCTGTGTATTTGGCTTTTAACACTGATTTAGATTTCATTTCTTTATCCCTTACTTCACCTCTTAAATTGCTATCGTCTATGCTCATGAAAGTGCATCTCAAGTATTTTGTGAATACTGGTCTACCATTCTCTCTTGGTTCCCACACTGCTACCAAGTTTAAAATTTGTTTAAGGTCCTGCCAACAGCACCAGCAAAATGCCCTGCAAGGAATTCAGTCCCAGCTCTGTTCAGCTGGCAACAATTCAACTGAATGTGTTGTAATTTCCCCAAAGCCAACGTCCAAGGCAGCCGATTGCCTCCTATGCCATTTTTCCAGCTACGTACTCATGTACCTTTATCCTCCTATTTCTGTACTCAAATGTAGCGCTGAAGTAATCCAAAAGATTACTACATTTGAAGTCCTACTTGCTAAATTTCTATCTAGCTCCCTAAGTTATGATTTCAGGACCACAGCCCCTTCTTATCCAAGTCATTGGTATTAACATGGAACAAGACATCTGGCTGTTCACTCTTCACAGAAAAACATTTTACAGATGTCTGGGACATCTGGCACCAGACAGGCAACATACTATCTTAAAGTCACGTTGACAGTCACATTTCAAGAGCTACTTTGAGAAGCAGAGGGACGATAAACAGATTTATAAGAACTGGAAGACTCTTGGCATGCTTCCCTCATCATCTAGGAAGAAAGTGCCCATTCAACAAGTAAACTGAGGAAATGATCGTTCACTAAGAATTTAAGAATACCTAAATTCTTTGCCATTGCTGAGGTTACTTCGAACAATTAAACAATAACTGTAGTCTCCAGTTATAACACCTCAAGTTCTCTACTACACAATCTTTACCCTTCGTCTGTATCAGACAGGCAGATTACCCATGTTCGCATGTGTTTGATGTTGCTCTTTTTGCCTCAAGGTCAGTAGGAGTAAAATTCCTCTTTCAGGAAATTCTTAAAATGGTCTTCTTCATTCTGGTCTAGTAACTATGTTTAATCGTGTGATAGCTGTGTGCCAAATGAAATAAAAATATTTTGTTACGACCAACAGAGACAGGGCTGATAAGAGGAGGGGCCTCACCTGGTCATAACAGGATTACTAATGTAGGATTCTGAATGATGAGCCCAACAACACAAGTACATTACTTAACCTAGTATTTGACTGAATACTAGACATTTTGTAATAGATTTATATAAGCCTTCATGAGATCATCATCTTCCTCACATTAGGAACTGCAAGGTGTGCATATGTTGCTGATAAAAACAAACAAAAGACTTGTCTAATAACACATCTTATTTCTGAATTTCATATTGAACCATATTACTTTAAATTGCAACAAAGATATTTGACAGAGATATAGAATTAGATTCAGAGACAGCAATGATGTTGAAAGTTGTTTGTAAAATGGTGTTCAGTCCTCGCCAGTCAAACAGAAGGAAATATGACAGGCCTTGAAATGGTATAGAGAAATACCTGATTAAGTGTTGGAAGACTGAATTACAAGGAAAGAAATTGGGAAATAGTCTGCAGACTTCAAAAGGAATCAAGTGAGCTACACAAATTGAGATACACAATGGTGGAACAGAAAAGTTGATCTGGACACTTTGATCCATCAGGCTGTCAAGTCTTTGGACTAAGCAGAACATTAGAGGTGACCAATAGTCACAGACAGGAGGAGTTTTGCTGTGAGTGGCACAGGAGAGGCAAGGGGATCAAAAAGACCAGAGCCTCTCCATTCCAATTCTCCAATAGGTTTGAGATTCTTTCAGCCTGTATGGATAAGAGTAGGGCTGCACAGTGGATGAACGAGTTGATCATGGCACAGGAAGCTATTCAAATGGTGGAGTAAACAGGAGTGCGGTGTAGTAGGGGGCAGTGTAATCAGGGGAATAGATACAGTTCTCAGTAATTAAGAGAACAAGTCCGGATGGTTGTTTTCTGCCCGGTAACAGGGTTTGCGATATCTCACAAAGACGAGAGAAAAACTTGGAGAGAAGCGGGAAGCTTTTGATGACTGTAGACCGCATGAGTACTTACAACATAGCAGAAGGAGGAAAGGGGGTATAAGCAGCTACGTACTAAATTAGAAAGCAGGACCCAAAATTTATATTCTCTGGATTATATCCCAAGCCGTAAAAAAAAAATCAGCCAAGGGTAAATAAGATTAGAAAAATGAATGAGTGGCTGAAAGACTAATGGGGGAAGAAACGGGCTTTGATTCATGAGATACTAATACCAGTACTAGCCAAGTTGGGAGCTGCACTTCGTTTCAGGCCTCACCTGAAAAGTGCTGGAACTAGTGTTTGGGTTTTAAGTTAAACAGTTGGGGAAAGCAATTGTGCGAGAGGAGATGTCATAAAACAGTGGGAAACTAATAGAACAAGGTAATAAAACCAAAGTTATGAAGAAGTTATGGAACTTGAAACGTAACTTTTTCTTCCTCCATAGATGCTGCCAGACCTGCTGAGTTCCTCCAGCACATTGTTATTATTATAATAACAACAGCCCTTTTTGTGTATAGATAGCTTGGCAGGAAGGGACAGAGTACAGACACAATGGTTACAATGGCAGATAAGGTCACAGCTTACTAAAAAGGTGAAGATAGAGATTGGAAGAATGCTATTTGAATTCCTGTGGCATTTGTAACAAAATGGGTAAATTGCTAGCACAAACAGAAATTAGTTTATATGGCCCGATAGCCATTCTAAAGACATGGGTACAACACAGGAACCTGAATATTGAAGCATATTTGACATTTCAGAAAGGTGGGAAAGTATGCAAAGGTAGGCCATTCTTAATTTTAAATCTGAGATAGATAAATTTGTGTTAACCAAAAAGTATATGAGTCAAAGGCAGGTACGTGGAGATAGACCACAGATCAGCCATGATCTCACTGAATGGTGGAAGAGGCTTGAGGGGCTGAATGCCTACTCCTGTTCCAATATTCCGAAAAAAGGTGACAGGGTTGCTGTTAAAGAAAAATGTCATTAATAGAGTATTAAGAGATAAGCTTAGGTCATTCTTGTTTCTACCTATGTCGTTGGTATCAACGTGCACAAAGATCTCTGGCTGCTAACCCACTGTTGGTGCAGACAATAAAAATCTCAGTACCGAACAGCCCTTCGCTCTATAAATAATGCTGGGCCTGGAACTTTTACAATCTCTGTCAATGACTTGAATAAAAGAGTCAGAACGTATGGTTTGGAAACTTGCTGATTACATTAAATCGAAAGGAAAGTAGGGTAGGAACGCTGTCAAGGGGCACGAGCAGGCTAAGCGAAGCAACAAAAATTTGGCACAAGGAGCGCAAGTGGCTATATGTGTACTTGTCCATTTCGGCAGTACAATGGTGCCTCCCTGGCGCAACAACCGATGGCTGGGGAATCCCTCTGTACGTTCATACCTCCATCTCCATCCAGTTTCCATCTAATCAGCCGCGAAAATTACAAGCAAAGGGCTGTTCTGGAGGGAATGAAGCCTGGAACAGTGGTACGAGGTTTAACAAATCGTCCACCACCTCATCCAGGGTGACAAAGGGTGACCGTGCCAGCGTGCTGAGGACTGAGATATCAGCAACAGCTGATGAGGCGAGGTGAAGCTCGGCTCTCCTCTTGCCCTGGGTGGTGGTGGAAGAGGAGCAAGACCACCGTCCAGGAGAAAGCAGCCGGTTATCCGATCACTCCCGGCAGTACTGACGTGCCTCTCAGAAATCGGTCTGTAAGCGGCCTCCACTGATTCCCAATGTCACACCCGTCCTTTAGCGGATACCTGAATTGAGCCGAGCCGGTGTGGGGTTGTGGGACGGGGGTCATGTCCAGGGCCAGGGTCGGGCTGCTCCTCCTCCATCCCCGCGAAAGCTCGCGCCGTTAACAGTCACAGCACGAGACCGCCTTCTGCCTAACGATCAACCTGAACAAGCCCCGGAAGCATTTCTTTGAAGCGACCACGATCCCGGAAACGAAAGCAAAGACAGAGCTTGAGGTACCACATGTCCGCACCGTCAAATAGGAAGAAATATCCGAGCCAACCACAGTCCTCCTGGTTCATATTAGCTACAAGGTAATGATGCTCTCAGTGACTGATTTATGTTATCAGGTATGAAACCACTTTGAACTGCACACGTTCGGACTACAGCCAAAATCAGGAAAACCATATCAAATAACGCAGTAAAAGTGTGAATAAGAAACATTTTTATAAAAATAAAGACTCCGCTTCACGCTTGTATCTCAGTTTTTATATACACTTCCTCGTTTGCCCTTAATCTAACGGCAGACCGGAAATGAATATGGCAGGAAGGCACCGTGACACTAGGTGATTGACAGCGTTCACGATCAATAGACAATCCGTCTCACGGCAGCGAGCGTCTTGACTTGACGTCAGTGCACCAATCCGGAGAGGTCAGAGGCAGGACCAACGTGGGAACGAGTCCGGTTGTCACGGAGGGGGGAAAAAACGCGAGCGGCGAGTAAACGGGCGGGGAGGCGGCGGTCAGGGACTTCCGGATTTAGCGTGAATGCCGTACAGAGAATAGCCCGAGAGAGTGAGTAGGTACCATTCCTCTGGGTAGACGCCAGCTCCGCGGCTCCACAGGTAGGGGAGGCGAGGATCCAACTTCATTTGGTTTACAGGGAGAGTCTACGGCAGGCGGCAGGCCAGGTCTTGCCCACTGGCTTCATAGACGATCTCCACAGGCGCAATTGGAAAGAGGGTGAACAAAGCGCCTGAGAAAGAGCGTGAGGCCGGGCTTGGTTGTATTAGGGCCTGAAGTGAACAAAGCTATTCGGTGTGGATGCTGAACGTGTGGCTGACTGTGTGTGTGTGTGTGTGTGTATCTATTGAGGGAGATTGCCTGACCGTAGGTTAACCCGTTTATGGGAAGTGAGTGGGAGAGTTCATCTGGCTTTGATGTGAGTGTGCGAATCTTTAAACTCTGGATTTCCGTTCCTCAACCTTTCTTCCTCGTCCTCTCTAGCCGCGCTATAAACCGACTTCTTCAAATCAAATCTCTGCTGTCAAATCTTGTTAGATAAAGCTCCTTGAAGTAAATTGAGACGATTTCTTGTCATACAAATGCAAATAATTGCCGTCCTGATGTCGGTAGGTTCTTGGGTTGTAGGAACAAATTACTGCAGATGCTGGAATCTGCACTGAAAACAAATGCTGGAGATCACAGCGGGTCAGACAGCATTCATGGAGAGAGAGCAAGCTAACATTTCGAGTCTAGATGACTCTTCATCAGAGCTGATG